TATTTGCTATATAATACGAGGATTTCGGTGGGTCACAGTCACAGCACAGCTCACCTTTGCACTGCAGAACGGCCGCGTGCAAGGCAGATTGCATCTTAGGGCCAGAGGCAGATGTGTGATCCCAATAGGTCGGAGCGGAGGCAGACGTATGATCTCGATAGATGAGAGCTTTGACGGTGTCTATCGACCGGCTCGTGACGGCAAGATAGAGGGGCGACATCCCAGCGTTGTTCACAGCGCTGGAGCAGCTACCATCAGCACATCTACCACCGCCTGGCGCCCGCGCCGCGCCGCTACATGTAGCGCCGTGTCGCCTCCGTGGTTCTTTATCAATAGGAGATGTGGCGCGCCAGGTCCCCCCGGCGCTTGGGCCAGCTTGATGAGGAGGGAGACCACATCTCCGTATCCGGCACTCGCGGCGCGGTGCAACGCCGTCTCGCCCCTCGACTTTTCTGATGGTAGCACAAGAAGGGCGTGCCCCTCGTAGACAGCTAGGTGCAAAACCGTGTTCCACCCGGCGGTGATCTCGTCAATACTGCAATGGCCTTGGTGCCTTCTTTTGTGTTGATCTGGGAAACGAATTTAGTTGGCTCCACGAAGATCAGACCGGGACGGCGAATCACATGAATGTTTGTTTGGTCAATAAATACAGCTAGGGAGGATTCGGGGTACCTGTGGTAGTGGCAGTGGGTGCAAGAAGATCTTGCACCTGCTTAGCAGATCCGGAGAAGGCCGCACGATACATTTCCGGACACATGACCTTACGGTCAGCACTCCGCAGGAGAGTTGCTCCCTGATCTTTGTCATCCGCTTGCGGGAGTTGCAGCAACGGAAGTAGGAACCTTGTGTTATCCGGCGGGGAGTCGCTTGCACGATGCAGTGCAGCGTTCAGATTCTCGTCTTGGAGCTTCTCGGCCTTTCTCAGAGCTTCTTCCGCCATGTTTCCCCCAGTTGAAGTGGATGATAGAAATGGAAAATCAACCAGGTAACCATCCCTGTTAGGTCCATGTATGTCATAGGCATAATTGATTATTTTAATCTACAGTTATCTAGAGACGACTTTGATACTACATGGCATTGAAGTACACATAAAAATGTCCGTTCTAGGTCAATATGAAGTGTGTTGTTACCCGTAGAAAAATACTAGTGGCCTAATAGGCCTTGCTCTGGCAGGTCAGATTCGCTGTTCTGGATCTACTCCTCGTCCGGCAGAGAGTGACTGTCTTGATTTAGATCCAAGTCAAAATATGTTTTACTCACTCCACCGCAAAATAAGTCTATGTCTTGCAATACGAGCAGTCAATTAGTCTCAACTTTAAATAGGTTTATAAAATTATACCAACATTTATTTCTTTAAATAGGTTTATATTGGGAAAATATATGACATGCACTATTGGAAACAGTAGAATTGCCAGAGTGCCTGAGGGTTTGCCGAGTGCATTCCATCGGGCACTCGGCAAATATCCACTTTACCGAGTGTATTTAATGAAACACTCGGCAAACACATAGCACTCGGCAAAAGCAAACTTTGCCGAGTGCCTAATATAAAACACTCGGCAAAATATAAAAAAACTCTCGGCAACCACGGACACTCGGCAAAATGGAGTCACGTGCGCTGGGCGTGCGGCGGCCATCTGACGGCCATGGGTGCGCCGCCCTGCTGTTAGAACTTTGCCAAGTGTCCGTTAGCGTTAGAGACACTCGGCAAAGACAAGGTATGCCGTGTGTTTTTTCTTGACACTCGGCAAATTAATACTTTTGCCGAGTGTTTTTTGTTTACACTCGGCAAAGTAATGTTTTTGCCGAGTGTTTTTTAGTGGCACTCGGCAAAATAATATTTTTTTTCTCTCCTGCCCTCCAAACTTTTTCTACTCTCCACATACAACATGTGGTACTACAAGTTAAAATTTGATATATTTCTCCATCTGTTTGCTATATTTAAGTAATTTATTACATTTAGAGGAATTTTTTGGTTTAAGTCAAATTTGAACCGCAAGTGATACAAATAATGGAATAAATTGAGTGGAGAAATCATATTCATGTTATTGAGTCCATTTTGGGGCCTTACTCGGGAAATAAAAAGAATTTTCGAATATTTTATTCAGGAAACACGTCCACGAACGTGTGGCCGAATGGTTTTTAAATTCTAAAAAAAGCAAACGAAGTCTGAAAATGACTAGATTTGTCAAGATCTCCTGATATCATACGTGGAGACTGTGAAAAAAATTGAGAAGGTTTCGCACAATTTGTCACGTATGACCTTTACAAACAGAAGCTTCTCCGTACAAGAATCGTAGCGTTTAGAAGGATTCGATAAGATTTGGAGTCAAAGTGACGGTCGAATCGGGGTTTGACTTCAAAACTTTTTGTATAGGTAATAGACAACATAGATTGGTTCACGTCAAATTTTGGTAATTTTTCAGATCCGTTTGATAATTTTAATTTATTAACTGCAATTATAGAATTTTAATTGATATATATTGAATTTGAGCTATAATTGCATGAAATAATGGATTAATATTCGTAGAAAAATCAAATATGCATTGTTGAGTGAATTTGACAAGGTATTTTTAAATTATATCGTAACAAATTTAGTAGAACACGCTATGAAGGAGGAGGATGGTGGAGCATGAAATATCGATTTATTTTGCCGAGTGTTTTGTACCTGACACTCGGCGAAAAGAACAGTTGCCGAGTGTCATATAGGGGACACTCGGTAAATACGTCGACCGGCCCCACTGCCCAGTATTTGGCCGTAATGAAACATTAAAAAAATAATGCAGAGTGTCCTAGATCTTAGCACCCGGCATACTCCTTCAAAAAACCCCCCACCGGTTAGCACCCCCGGCCCTCACCCTCGCGCACCGCACACAACCGCACGCCGCCAACCCCAGCCCCACCGCGCCCTGCCGCCTCCCCGCCCCACCGCGCCCCGCCCCCGGCGTGTCCTGCCCCCAACGCCGCCCGCCCTCGGTGCCCTGCCACCGGCGCCGCCGCGCCCAGCGCGTCCGCTTGGCGCCCTCGTCTAACTCTCTCTCATGGCGACGATCGACGGCCGCCGCCGCCGCCTTCGCCAGTCTTCTTCGGGCCTTCGCCGCGGCGGCAATCGCGCACACCTTCTCTTCCCTTCCACACGCTAAACTGAGCATCCAAACCCTAGTTTAACCTATTTGTATTCGGATCTGATATAATTACAGGAGTATACATGTGTTATGCCTACTAATTCGATTATGTTTCAAAAAATTATCTGGTGTAGTGTATGTATACACCCATGTCCTTTACTGGGCCGCGCCTGCTGTGTTTGTGTTGAAACCTTAACCAAGGCCACAAGGGGGCAAGTGTATTGATTTACCTCGCTGGCTTTACTGGGGGATAATGATTGGGAAATAGCTTACTTTGTTGAGTGAGAAGCTCATTTGAAGATCTACCTTTTGCTGTAAATAAATCCTAAGGTGTAATGTATCTTGCCTGTTACCGGTCTGCCAGCCTATTTCTGTTCATCTTTGAAGTAATAGCTTGTTTTCTCCTATCCGATTTGCCTGTACAAGTCTGCTGCGCCATACTGCTGCCAATCAAACATATTAATCAGCATCAGGGAAACTAATTTTTGATGTCGATAGCATTGACCATCAGCCATTGATGTTTTATAGAGAAGACCTTTCATCCTATGCTAAAATAGGCTCTAGTCCCAGTATTTTTTGCGCCCGGGACTAGAGAGACCGTTAGTCCCGGTTGGTGTCTCCAACCGAGACTAAAGGTCCCTGCCCAACGGCTACTGCGCTCGGCAGAGTGGCAGGGGACCTTTAGTCCCGGTTGGAGACACCAACCGAGACTAAAGGTGGACCTTTACTCCCGGTTGGAGCCACCAACCGGGACTAAAAGTCCTCCAACCTTTAGTCCCGGTTGGTAACACCAACCGGGACTAAAGGTCCCCCGATAGGTTAGTTCAAAAGGAAAGCATCTCATTCATTGTTATTTGTGTTGTGTAGGTGGGGTGATAAGCTACACGCGAGGCAATGTATGAGGTCTTGAGTTCGAATCTCACGGGACACAGCGGTGGGAGGCATTATTTTTTTTAAAGCTAGGAGGACCTGGGAGGACCCTCCTTTAGTCCCAGATGCTTGCTCCCGGGTGAGGAACCGGGACTAGAGGGGGTTCCCCACCGGGAGTAAAGCCCGTCTCTGTAACCAAGGTTGTATGTTTTCTTATGAACAAAACTTATCGTTGAAGCTATCACTTAGTTTGTTTCAGAACTGTGCTAGCATCTTGCAATCAGCAGCTCTTGCTTATGGCTGACTGACTCATAGATATGATTCCAACACTACTTTACCTATGGAGCAGCGTACACTATATATATATATATATATATATATATATATATACTCTCAGTTAACTTGATTTTTGATAATACTGATAATACTCTCAGTTAACAGCTTTTTGATAGCTCCCAACTCTCAGTTAACTTGCTTTTTATGTACCATCAAGGTGGTAGTCAGTTTTTATACATGTTTTTTATGTACCAAAACAAGACTATCAAACCTGAAAGAACTTTATTTATACATGTTTAAACTGACATTGCCTTTAGCTAAGAATTTTCATAATAACTAGCACCGGGTTCAGTTAAGAACTCATATATGGCATAATGTAGAAAAATAATGAAGGCACCCCAGCTTGGTTGAGAAAATACTCCTATGAATACTAGAAAAAAAACTCCCCTTTCAGACTACTACCACAACTACTTAGCAGGATGCATAGACAAGTGACATCCCTAGATTCTTAACTGGTCAGGTACAAAGGAGGTGTTAGTACATGGTTTATAACAACCAGCTTAACAAAACAACTCGATACCACGCTGTATTACCAGTAGAAACTCAGCTGGACGAACGGGATTTGCTCGCTTGGCTGTTCACTGGGTGATAGTTCAAACTACTAAATTACCACCCAGAATGCCAGTTTAAACATAACATTTTAAAGGTATCGTTCTTGAACATAGTGCCAAATCAAAATAGCATGCATATGTTAACATACTCTTTTTCAGCAAGCTTCACTTCAGTTCCACCATACTTAGGAAGTAGAACAGTGTCGCCTTCACTCAGAGATACAGGGATCAGCTTACCATCCCTATCACGATCACCAGGGCCAACAGCAATGACTTTAGCAGCGTTCAGCTGCATTCAAAAATAAAGTGATACTAGTCCATTACGCACGCCCTCGCGCGCGCCGGCAAATCGCCTGGTTAAGGCGCAGGTAAAAAATATGTTTAATCTTTGCATGCAGTGCATACATATCAAAGAATGGATGCAGCATAAATATGTTTGTGCTGATCATCAGGTAATTGAAATAGCTGAGGAACTTGTAGTTGCAATTGTTAATTATGCACCTTTCTTAATACGAAAACAGATAATGTACCTCTCTTCAACTGTGTGATGGTATTTGATCAGCATCTGTATTTGGCCAATAAATGTCGAAGATAGCCAATGACAGGCAACATCATTATTGAACCACCACCATTTAGACCACCAGAAGGCATGCACAGGCGAGATGGAATAGGAACTAGACTGGAACAATTTTTTAGCTGAGATGAAGCCCAGTGAGCATCTAGAAGTTGTCATGCTGCATAAACCTCATAGGATATAGCAGGCGATTAGATCTTAAAAGTTAGGCGGCCATGTAGTCCCGATAATTTCTAGAAGTTGCAGTGATCGATATATAATAAATTTCAGGTAAAATGTAAATTAAACATGTATGCATGAAATAGGCAAGATCTTTTGTAGCCTGCTGAATATCACTTTGTGCCTATTCTTTTTTCAATCAATTTGCAGATAAAAAAACTTTATGACCATTTAGATGTTGTCAAGCTGCACAGACTCTTGATAACCAACAGTAGGTGCTGAAAGCATCAGAATGGATGCATCTGTTGTACCAGCTCGTAGAACGTCTATTGATTGACATATGATTTTCAGAGAGCATCTGAATTTACAGGTAAAATGGAGGCATACTTCCTCCATTTCTGTTTTACGACCTGGGATGTAAGGCAGGTATCATATGCAAGCTTGAACTGCGCGTCTGCGCCATATCTATTTTACACATCCTAAAAATACCTATAGATTTGTGAAATGGATTACAGACTAAGGAGGAATAACTGCTGTACATACGGGTCTTTATTCTAAAAATAGAACGCGCTAATAAACAAAAAAGAGGACAGGAAGCAGATGGCAAGAATATGCATAGCACAGTCGCAGCTCGTTAGATTAAGCAAGAAAGAGGGCATTACAAAATTGGACAGGTCAAGAGGTCTCACAAATGTTGATTGAAAATTAACACAAGAGCAGGATGCATATCTTAACTGATAACGAAAAAAGCAGGCAAGGAGGTCCAGCTCGGCATCGATCCTCACTATACAGCCTGCAGTAATGTGCAAACGCTAAACATAAGCTACATTTAAACAGGCCGGCCAAAAAACCTGCAGGCTCATTTGACGCACGGAAAAGATAGAGAGCTACACATGGAGCAGGGCGTAGACCTGAATTTTATGGAAGACGTGATCATGCCGTGGCACCGCACCGCAGCGGTGCTGTTTTGCACCAGCCTATACAACTCAAGACGACTGCAAAGAACGATATTGGTTACAAAAGTTTATATGTGCATATATACTTTGGTAAAAAAAACGAGACCTCAAACTACTCAACCTGCATGTGCAAATAGGTTTCAGATTCATGCATGAGGCAAAAGATCAGAGTGAGGCAGTCCTCTATGGGTTCTTGGACCTGCACACAATAGGAGCAAGTGAGGTTGTCAATCAATCACTTATCCCAGCCGAAAAAGGGAGTAAAATTGGGGAATCGAATGTCGGTCACATGGATGGTTACCATACATGAGGCTCCCTGAGCTAGAAAGGGCGAGGGCAAGAGGGAAAGGAGGTGGCAGCATAGGTGGCCATCGACGCCGTTCAGGGGAGGAGATATGATGAAGGGGCTGATGTAGGTCCGCGCCACCGCCATTCGAGGGACCACCTGGGCATCCTCCACCCCTGAGACCTGAGAGCAGAATGGATCAAGATTGAACAGACGATTGAGATAGAGGAGGGCTGTTTGAAGTGATAATGAGCATAAAAAATCACAAAGATCACATCAATGTTGAAGCCGTAGGATCCCTCATATAGATTGGTACCACCACATTATTTTTCCTGGATCATGCATTGACCTTTTGTTTTGTTTCAGTAAGTTATGCCAAAACATACATTATTGCCAAACCATCAAGATAGTTGTTGCTGACAAAAGCAGGGACGCTTCACTGTTAGTAAATGTTAATGCAACATCCCAAAAAAATGCTTCCAGTAAGAACATGCTATGAACATGATAGTCATAGATGTAAGTAAGTTCAGTGGATCTGAGTTTTTTTTTGGTGCAATAAAAAAGTTTCCAAAGCTTCCATGCACATATATCATGTTTTGACAACTGAACATATATGATGGGACCTCTTCCAAATCATTTTCCAGTGGTCAGAAGTGCCATGGCAGACATGTCATGATAGAGGTCTCATACATGGCAACCACGAGAAGCAAGGCAGGCTTCTATAGAGAAGCAGCAGGAGAAACAAAATGACAGAGTACAGACCAGACCAACCTGCACGGTTGCCATGAGGAACACAAGAAATAGTCAGGCAGCCGAGGGGCATCCCAATGAATAAAACAGCTAGGTCTTCACTGTGATGTGGCACATGTTGACAAAATTCATGGCAACACATATGATTATTTCTTTTTTCTTGGCGGTTGCTCCAAAGACTCGCATATTTACCGACAACGTATGGAACCTGTATTAATTTTAGAAGTACTGTAATTTTTAGGAATACAACTAACCTAATGTGCTCACGCTATCTCAAACAAATGTGCCCTATACTATCTACAATATCTGATAAAGTAACTTTGGATCATTCATTTCAAAGTGAAGTGCACGAAGAATTCCAAATCCCATGCTCTCTGGCCCTGTACTGTAAGTAGTAGGGATGAAAACGGATCGGATACGAACGGATATCACTCATATTATATTTGTTTTCATATTTCTGTTCGGATTCGGATTCGGACACGGATAGCGTTCGGATACATATACGAATACGGATTGACTCGGTTACGGATACGAATAATGAGTATCGAATACGGTATGAATCGGATTCGGAGAAGGTTGGATACAAATATCTATTCGGATATTGAGTAAAAGCAGCATATATATATATATATCATACGTGCGCAAACCATTACACCACTCTATGAGTCCATAATCCATCTAGATTAAGCCGAAAGACTAAAGAGTAAAGCAACAAATAAGATAAAGATACAGATACATCATACATCAAACATCATATAAGCACCAATCTTCGCGGCATGAGTAGAAATAGCCAAGCACATTGCTTCATGGGTCTCATGGAGTCATGGTCATGGATTCAAGATCTACAATCCTTATATAGGCCATTTTTTTATTTTGAGAAAGTTTGAACAAAATGTAGTTCAAATTTCACAAGTGTGTGACATAGTTTTAGAAAGTCTGTATGAGATTTAAGAATTTGTGACTAGTGTTTGATAAAACTTTCTCAAATGGGAAAATGAGCTATGTAACAATTGTATATCTTGCTGAGATGATCAAACTTGGTATTCAGAGTTTTTTCATCTGAGGTCATTTAGTGTCTCATTTGAGCAAGTTTGACCAAGTCAAATTTGGTCAAATGAAAAAACAACACTTTGACTCTAGTATTATGAACTCTAAATGACTTCAAATTGAAAAGTTTTGAATACAAAGTTTGTTCAACTCATCAAGATCTACAATTCTTGTTTTGGTCAACTTTCCATTTGAGATAGTTTGGATGGTTCAAATTTGTGATTTTTAAATTTCGATGCTTACAAACTAGTTTTCGGGACCCTAGATTGTCTCAAATTGAAAAGTTTTGAATACCAAGTTTGTTCAGATCATCAAGATCTACAATCCTTATATAGGCTATTTTTTCATTTGAGAAAGTTTGAACAAAATGTAGTTCAAATTTCACAAGTGTGTGACATAGTTTCAGAAAGTCTATATGAGATTCAAGAATTTGTGACTAGTGTTTGATAAAACTTTCTCAAATGGAAAAATGAGCTATGTAACAATTGTATATCTTGCTGAGATGATCAAACTTGGTATTCAGAGTTTTTTCATCTGAGGTCATTTAGTGTCTCATTTGAGCAAGTTTGACCAAGTCAAATTTGGTCAAATGAAAAAACAACACTTTGACTCTAGTATTATGAACTCTAAATGACTTCAAATTGAAAAGTTTTGAATACCAAGTTTGTTCAACTCATTAAGATATACAATTTTTGTTTTGGTCAACTTTCCATTTGAGATAGTTTGGATGGTTCAAATTTGTGATTTTTAAATTTCAACGTTTACAAACTAGTTTTCGGAACCCTAGATTGTCTCAAATTGAAAAGTTTTGAATACCAAATTTGTTCATCTCATCAAGATATACAATCCTTATATAGGCCATTTTTTCATTTGAGAAAGTTTGAACAAAATATAGTTCAAATTTCACAAGTGTGTGACATAGTTTCAGAAAGTCTATATGAGATTCAAGAATTTATGACTAGTGTTTGATAAAACTTTCTCAAATGGGAAAATGAGCTATGTAACAATTGTAGATCTTGCTGAGATGATCAAACTTGGTATTCAGAGTTTTTTCATCTGAGGTCATTTAGTGTCTCATTTGAGCAAGTTTGACCAAGTCAAATTTGGTCAAATGAAAAAACAACACTTTGACTCTAGTATTATGAACTCTAAATGACTTCAAATTGAAAAGTTTTGAATACCAAGTTTGTTCAACTCATCAAGATCTACAATTGTTGTTTTGGTCAACTTTCCATTTGAGATAGTTTGGATGGTTCAAATTTGTGATTTTTAAATTTTGAATAAATATCCGGATAATATCCGTTTTTAAATATCCGGATATATCCGATACTTATCCGGATTATCCGATATCCGCCGGATATCGATGATATTACATCCGTATTTGATATCCGCCTAAGATATCCGTTTTAGTATCCGTATCCGAAAAAACGGATATCCGAGTAACTATCCAGATAAGTGTTCATATTTGTTCGGTCGAACGGACGGTCGAATAAATATCCGTACCGTTTTCATCCATAGTAAGTAGTGACATTAAGAACATGTGAGGAACCTAACAAAAAAAAATTGCAAACCATCCGTGCTATCATGCATAAACAATAGCACAACACAAACATGTAGGAAGTCACTAAGATAATGTAACAACACGTATGACAGCAATGGTCTCAGAACCAAGTAGTTAATCTTGTGCTTGAAGAGTGAATATAAAGAGAAAAGTATAATGGGGGATATAGAGGAGGAATATGAATTGGATGTTACCTTGCCTGCTAAATGAGAATTGAAGACTCCAATTATACTTTTCCCAGTCGCATATGCTGGCCATTAAAAAAACGGAAGTATTAGGCCAAGTAAAATACAGTTAGAAAAACAATGGGAATCATGGCTCAATATGATATATCATGTGCAACTAAATAGAATTCATCGTAAACTAGAAGAGAGGAGGTAAGGAAAATAAGAAAAGACATGCTAATCATAGTTGCAATGGCCATGCTGGTTATTTATTTTGAGAAGCATTCGTACCCTTGCAAAGTGTTGGCATAGTAAGAACTCATCCACATTTAAGCATTAGCTTACTGAGCCAAATATCTCATATTTACGTGGATCCCCATAAAGGCAAGGGCACCTGTATCAATTTACATAGCACGGCAAAAACATATATCCTCTAAGAAAAGAAAATATGAGAAATCTAAGAACAATCCAATCTATGTATATAATAGAGAGGGCACTGAGTAATTTAACAGGTCTACATAGAACCTAAATTGAGTTGGTAACACATCCCAATGCTAAACTATCAGTAGGAATCAAACACAACGCGTGCACGAACAGTACAGAGGAAGAGCACATAGTGTCAGCCGCCGCCG